TTCGTTTGTAATAAGGAGATTCAAACAGGGCTTTGAATGGGATGTCTGTTTGGATGTGGAAGTCACCCAGGATCATGGCTGCACTCAAGCTGGAGAGGAAAACAATAATACAGGTGCCAGAGTCTTTATATAATGATGGATTGTGACTAGAGATTAGGAGATGATGATACCAATAAGAAGGGAGATGATGAATTGCTGGATAGCAGGAATATCAAAGCATTAAGGATTTATTTTCATGGAGGTAAGACTTCAATAGTCTGGAAACAGCACTAGGGACAAGAGGATCATCAGCCTGAGGGTACTTGGGGTGTGGAAGAATAAACAGCTAACATTTGCAGGAGAAACTGTATCCTCAGTGGAGAATGGGGTTTTAGTCAAGACAGGAAGGCAGAGATAATGTTCTGAAAGAAAGTTGAACATGTAGCAAATTTTGCAGACATAGAACAAAATTCCAGCGGGGGCAGTGGAACAATTTGGGAGATAGGGAAGGAAAGCTTGTGTGTGTGTGTGTGTGTGTGTGTGTGTGTGTGTGTGTGTTTGTGTGTGTTGTAAGGGCAATAGGGCAGTGAAGAATAGAACATTTAAGTATTGTATTGTTGTGGCAGAAAATAAATGCCTGGGGATGGTGTGGGGATCCAGGAAACTGGAGGGTGGGTCTGAATGAGTTAAACAAGGATGAGAGAGTATGGCAGCACCAGCAGCTTAAGAGACGTCTACCTCCCATCAGGTTGGGACCTGGAAACAGGAGCCTAGCTGTAAAAAGAAAGCAAAGTAGAGGTTGGAAAACCTGACAGATTCCCAAATGAGGACTTCCTCCAGGAAAATGTGGTCCTTAATTATTGAAATAGTAATAATATAATATAAAATGTCCAGTCTGGCAGAGGTTTTCACCAGGAAGCTCAGGGCCTTTGCAATATTTGACCCATTCTGACCAAGTGGTCGTTTGCTTTCCTTAGTCTTTTATGACAAATTTTCCAGTAAAATGGTTTTATGTAAACTCAGTATTTCTTCTTGGAAGTCTAAGACATATTAGAATACACATAATTTGCATGAATCCATGGCCATCGAGTTGATTCCAGCTCTTCGTGACCCTATAGGACAGAGTAGAACTACTCCATAGGGTTTCCAAGGAGCAGCTGGTGGATTTGAACTGCAGACATTTTGGGTAGCAGCTGACCTCTTAACCACTGCCCTACCAAGGCTCCAATTTGCATGAACTTCTTAAAATTTCTCAATATTTTAATGTTATCAATTGTAATTGGTACTAAAAAGCATGAAGCTCCATTTTTTCTTGAATCTGCTTTGTTGCTCAGTACTGAGAAACAATTATTTAAAACTCATCTAATAACTTGAAATATATTTTGGAATATACCAAAAAACCAAACTCATTGCTATCGAGTCAATTCTGACTTATACATTGAAAATATATTTTCCCAAGGTATTTAATTCAATATCAAAAAGTGCTTAGATGCTGGTTGAATCTGCCTCTTTCCAAAAACTGTGAGGTGATATAGGCTTGACAATTAATTTAAAAATTCATGCTGAGGGATTAATTTAAAAAATTAATAAAAACTTAAGTTTTTATGGGCTGTGGATGAGTCATATGTGAACAACTGTGGTGGTTTAGTCTTAATGAATATCCACATTTGAACTTTTATCTTTCTGAAGTCATCTCTGGTAGTATCACCAAGGTCTTGTCCTTTGTCATTAGAAAAGGAACTTGGGAATTATTTACATGCAAGTTTAACTTTTTGCTTAAACAATTTAAGAGAATTATTTTTGAGCATTAGAGTCTGAGACTGTAATATATTTATATTTATATTCTGACACCACATCCAGTTCTAGAATACTATAGATAAATTGTTGTTAATTGTACCTGTTACCTATTGCCACAACAATGCTGCATAACAACCAGAAAAACTTAATGGCACCACCAAAACCACACTTATTTTGCTCATAAGGCTGCTGGGTTCAGCTGAGTTGAGATGGATTCGACCGATCTGGTCAGGTTTTCCTAAATGTCTGGGGTCCAGCTGGCTATTGGCTGGCACTGCTCCATATCCTTCTCAACTTCCAGCAGCCTAGTCTGGGCATGTTCTCAGAGCATGGAAGAAGTGCAAGAATGAGCAAAACCAATTGTGTAGGCATCTTTTAGATCTTGGATGTGACTCTGGGAGTGAAAGGCTGAGGTAGAGAAATGAAAAGTTCAGTTGTAATAAGGAGATTCAGACACAGTTTTGAATGAGATATCTGTCTGGATGTAGAAGTTACCCAGGATCATGTTTGTACTCAGGCTGAAAGGAAAACAATAATATAGGTGCCAGAGTCTTTATATGATGATAGATTTTGACTAGAGATTAGTAGGTGATGTTCTAAAATCCTGTTGGTCCAAAGGAAGTCACATGTTGTTGTTAGGTGCCTTTGAGTCTGTTCCGACTCATAGTGACCTTATATACAACAGAATGAAACACTGCCCGGTCCTGTGCCATCCTGCTTGAGCCCATTGTTGCAGCCACTGTGTCAATCTATCTCGTTGAGGGTCTTCCTATTTTTCGCAGACCCTCTACTTTACCAGGCATGATGTCCTTCTCCAGGAACTGATCCCTCCTGACAACATGTCCAAAGTATGTGAGACGTAGTCTTGCCATCCTTGCTTCTAAGGACCATTCTGGTCGTACTTCTTCCAAGAGAGGTTTGTTCGTTCTTTCGACAGTCCATGGTCTATTCAATATTCTTTGCCAACACTACAATTCAAAGGTGTCAATGCTTCTTCGGTCTTCCTTATTCATTGTCCAGCTTTCACATGCATATGAGGTGATTGAAAACATCACGGCTTGGGTCAGGCACACCTTAGATTTCAAGGTGACGTCTTTGCTTCTCAACACTTTAAAGAGGTCTTTTTCAGTAGATTTGCCCAATGCAGTGCATCTTTTGATTTCTTGACTGCTACCTCCATGGATGTTGATTGGGCATCCAAGTAAAATCAAGTACTTGACATCTTCAATCTTTTCTCCATTTATCATGATGTTGCTTATTGGTCCAGTTGTGAGGATTTTTGTTTTATGTTGAAGTGTAATCCATACTGAAGGCTGTGGTCTTTGATCTTCATCAGTAAGTGCTTCAAGTCCTCTTCACTTTCAGCAAGCAAGGTTGTGTCATCTGCATAATGCAGGTTGTTAATGAGTCTTCCTCCAATCCTGATGCCCTGTTTTTCTTCATATAGTCCAGTTTCTCAGATTATTTGCTCAGCATACAGATTGAATAAGTACGGTGAAAGGATACATCCTTGACGCACACATTTCCTGACTTTAAACCACACAGTATCCTCTTGTTCTGTTTCAAAGACTGCCTCTTGACCTATGTACAAGTTCCTCATGAGCACAATTAGTGTTCTGGAATTCCCGTTCTTCGCAATGTTATCCATAATTTGTTACCATCTACACGGTCGAATACCTTTGTATAGTCAATAAAATACAGGTAAACATCTTTCTGGTGGTCTCTGCTTTCAGCGAGGATCTGTCTGACATCAATAATGATATCTCTGGCTCCACGTCCTCCTCTGAATCCGGCTTGAATTTTTGGTAGTTCCCTGTTGATATACTGCCCCCGTAGTACAACAAACTGACAGATAAGGGGGGGGGGGGCACATGGAGAAGCCAGAATCAGAGAAGGTGGGAGGCAATGCAAAATTACATGGAAAGCATGTAGGTACAGAGAAGGGTGAGGAAATGGGACCATTAATGCAATCAGTTCACCTCCTTGAATGAATAAATGAACAAATCGATCATACAGTGAGGTGAAGAGCACTGGACTATGAATCAGGAGATGTATCCCTGAGGCACAGAACTATTCATTTTGTTTACTTTGGTAAATTATTTTATCTTGCAGGGCCCTAATTTCTGTATTGGCAGTTCCAAGTTTGAAAGGCCTGTAATTTTATAAAATCAAGCTTTTAATAAATTTAATAGTACACACAGTCTGTAGCAGAATACTTAGGGGAAACTTGTTTATTATCTGTACTTTGCCCGTTGCGGTCGAGTTGATCCCAACTCACAGTGACCCTATAGGACAGATTAGAACTGCCCCATAGAGTTTTCAAGGAGTCGTTGGTGATTCAAACTGCCGACCTTTTTGGTTAGCAACTGAACACTTAACCACTGCACCACCAGGGCTCTGTCCTATACTTTAGCGAACCCAAATGGTTAGTGTGGATGGCCAGAGTTGATTGGCTAATTTTGACTTTCTGAATCTTTGAATATTTTTAGTCATATTCAAACTGATAAGCTTCTAGTCTGATTTTGGGTATGCAGCAAAGTGCTGAAAGTTCAGTTTCCTATTTAATTTTTTCTTCTATCTGATGAGTCTTTTGAAGCATACAGCTTGTCAGTATAAATCAAACAGTGTAACATCTCTTATATGTGAGATAAATTTTAGGGGCTGTTGTTGCTGTGCCTTAATAATTCATTATCATGATGAATTATTATTCTTAAATAGACCAGAGGAGCATTGTCAAGTTTTCATAATGTTGATTAAAAATATGGCTTGTTTTAAAGTAGATGTTATGATTTGTTTTATATAAAAAGTACAGATAATATGTAAGTGAAACCCTCTCTTTATTATGTACAACAGGTACATATGTAATAGATAATGAAATGCTGGATTATTTAACTATAAAAATTTTAAAAATAAGTAAAAATATTTTATAAGATTAGCAGGAAGAAAGTAAGACATACAGTCTTTGAAGATGACTGTCTGTGCCTGAGATAGCTTCTTATTCTTGTTACTTCTATTGCCTCAAATATTTCATACCTAGATTACCAAAAAATATTGAATAAAATACAATTTGTAACTCACTTTGGCATGTAGAATGTTCTGTTTCATTCTAACAGAAGTGACTTGCCATATGATAAATGTTTATCCTTGTGGTATCTCTGGGGAGCATTTATTTTGGACTGATAATTTACTTGTGAAATCAGTCACTGTGGTCTATGTCTTTGCAGAGTCACCGTGTAGACGTATCTAAGAAACCACACTCAAATCAAGCTGGCCTAGATTCAAAAGTACCAGTTGGTTGTCAGAATGATTTGGCCAACCTGGGGAGAGAGAGGAGCAAGAGTGGCGCAACTGCAAAAGCAGACACCAGTGTGACTACCGGTGAGTTATTAAGCCCCATGACATTGGTTTTAACTGCTTACATGCTGAATGCACAATATACAGATTCTTCCTATCGTTTCGTGTGGAATCTGTGGCTCAGTCAAAATGACTGACCTGACCTGCACATCTCAGTGAAATGAAGTTTTAAGTGCAGCATAGTATTAAACACTCACAGTCATGAGCGGGCTGTTCATTGTTTCCCAATATTAGATTTTTCTCCTCATTTATGATTTTCATGGCCAAGGAAAGTGTCTTATTTTAGGATTCCTTGTAATAGCGTGATAATATTTTAATTTTTTTTTGCTAGAAGGATTAACAAGAAGCATTCACGGCTTGAACAGAGAAGCTAAAATAATTGAGATGTTTTTAATTTAAAAAAGAAGTTTCAGATAAATCACCTAATGCAGATTTGAACTATGATAGTTTAGTTTATAGGGATAGTGATCTGATCATTTTCATCTCTCCTGAAGACAAAGGAAGAACAAACAGACTTTTGGAGGCGTTGATAGCATTCAGTTAAGCTTCCAGAGTAACTTCCATATTGTGGAAATCCAGGATGAGTTAGCAAGGGAAATAAGAATTTTCTTTCTTGGCAATGTTTAAGACAACACCACACCAGCTCCATTTTGATTACACTTTATCTTAGAAACTTCATGTTTAGTTTATAGAAAAATTTAAACTGTAATTATTCTTAAGCATACAGTTTATTCCTTTCTCTTTCTTACTTGGTTTTCTAGCTAGCACATTTTTTTCCCCTCCAAGGGCATGTAAAAGTCAAAATACTAAAGTCTCTGAAGTGTTTCTGCTCCAAACGCTGTCCGTACAATCTGAGTTCTTTCATGTAGTTAGCTTATTGGCTTCTGACACGCCTATAAAAATACCCCAAAGAGTTTTTCTTATTACGTTTTCATTGACTCTCTCC